TTTTGAGTATTGTTTCTTGCGATGACTGAGCTGACCATTTTACGGTTTGGACAGTCGTCTTGATATGGTTAATATTTACAGTACAGTACTCAGCTGAGAAAGGAGAGGCAAATTTTACTTGTTACACGTTAAATGTTTAATTTTCTGCTATACAGATTTTGATAGTGGCATATGGCCTATCTGAACGTGTCTAGCTACTTCAGCCAGGAAGGTTTGCCATCTTCACATCTGTCTAAATAACGAAAAATTTCACATAACATTAAAGAATTTAAATACATAAATATATTCGTCGCATGGTTCTAGATACGAGGTATCGTCCGTGAGAAATCCATCGCACAATGTCCAGAATTTAAATACATAAATATTTTCGTCGCGTGGTTCTAGATACGAGGTATGGTCCGTGAGAAATCCATCGCACAATGTCTTCGTACAATGAAAGCAAATGATCAGTACAATAACTTAATACATGCATATGAATTCAGTATTAATGCTAATGTCCATGCTGTTTTTTGTAGACGATGATTTATTATGGAGAAACTGAATAAAAAGTGCGAAGTCATTTTAACGTAAAAAGGTTATCACAACAGATTATGAAAGTTTTTACATTCAAATGTTACTTATTATGGACGTTTAGCTAAAAAAAAGACTAAATAGTGATTAGTAAAACACTCTTAATTATACGTCGCATAAGGTGAAAGTTGAACAAACTAATTTTTGTAATCATATTTGAGACACGATTAAATAACTGGATTTTAGAGCAATGACACCTTTCCAATTTTGGTCATTTTCATTTACATTTTATAACAATATATTTGTAGTCACTGTGTGGGGGGTAAGATAAATTTATTCTCGGTGTACTCAGCTCATCTGCGAGGGAGGGTAATTATCAGTATATTTGGGTATCACGTGGTTTCAGAGACCCCCTATGTCCAGCCAACATGCAGACATCAGACCTGGTATCTACTACGAAGGATCATGTAATAACAATACGTAGTTTGGAGCGATATGCAGTCATACCAACATGCGCTGACCTCACTCAAGTCGTATGTTCCTCGCATGATTGCAGCAGCTATCGGTCGCAATAAAAATGCCATAATATTAAATATTACAAACTCACAGCGCAATGTTGTATTTTAAGTATAATACAGAAACTGTGGACTAGTTCCAATATGTACACACAGATTTGCTTCCTCGTTTAACAAAATAAAATAATTATTTAATATTTGTTATTGTGCTTTCACATATTCCAAACATTCAGTAACTTTTAACTCTATACATCTATAATACGAACGTGTTTAAAACAAGCAAAACACAACAGTCTGGCCACTTTGGCACCTTAAGACATGGCTAGTCACGCTACATCTCAGTCTATTTAATACAGGGTCGCCGGGCTCTTGTGATAATACTTACAGAAAATTAAGAATACAAAAAAAAAAAACATCAACTAATATTTGCAGAACAGATTCAATGAAAGATTCAGCGGTACAACGTTACAAAAACACATTGAATCAACAAACATATAAAGGAACATTTCTCATTGCTTCTCTACTTTTGTCGTTTATTTGAATGGAATGTTCTCTTCGTAACAGCTGTTGGATATGTTCAATTTATTGTACAACTAAGGTGAGGAAACTTTGAAAAAGTTTCTCAGTATACAGGCAGTTGAAATGGCACACAGGTGAACAGTTCACACAAAGCCTTACTAGTTCCGGTTAAATTCTAAAAAGATCACAGCGTCAGAAGTTTCCTGAGATACAAAAACGCCACGATATTACTATGATAAAACAGAACTAAATCGTGTTGTCGTTAACAAGAGATATCAATCTGTTTCTTACGTCAGTCCGCTCGGTTGACGGTGTTACGGCGTGGACAAGGCACGATAACATTACTCCCCGTTCACCATCACTGTCGTCCACTGCCAAGGGCTGATGTAGGGCGTCTTCTGACTTGCAACAACAGAAACCAAAAGTTAATGTGGCCCTCCCGCTGTGCTATCTGAAGCCACCACAAGATATCACCAAACTGGGAGGGGATTTTCAGATTTTGATACAAATTTAAATTTAATAAACTACCCTTATTCAGGGAGCAGCAGAAGACATTGGGGGTGGTTTTAAAAAAAAAAAAAGAACTGCCATCACAGTAATTTAATATAAACGCGCGTGTCGAAAAGGGGCTGGCTCCTCGGACCGGCGTTGGACACTGATCTGTGTACCCACAATGCACAGGGCCGGAAAAGAGCAAAACACTAGTTTGTCTCCTGTTTCTCTGTTTCGTAAATTTGGCATGGACATTACTGCAGCTGATCTGCTGTTACACCACGATGTTTCGTATTTCAGTTTGAAATTATCCGGCGAAAGATATATTATGAAATTAGAGATAATGAGGATTGCATCACTGGTTACGGGCAAAATGGCATAGGAAGAAAGAAATAAAATAAGCTCAAAGGAAGAACTAGAGATACAAAGAAATTAAAAGATAAATATGCTAAACATAAGCGTCACGTCTCTCACTAGGTCATACGTACAAGACAGGAAGTGCGTACATGTCTGGTTAGGCAAGCATCAATACTGAACGATCACAAACAGGCCCGATTAATACATAAGAAACATCAGAATCCCCTTTGAAAATATTGGCAAGAAGTATTATTCAACTTGTTATGGTGGCTTCAGAAATGAGCGTGAATGGTTGCATATACACTCCAAAGATCCAACAAACCAGCAAGACAACAACTTTCCTTTACAGATCTCAGTATTCTTGTAAGATTTGAGGTTTTAACGAGTCTGAAGATGGCTGTCTTGTGGGTTGTTACGCTCAGAAGACTGCCATCCTCAGTGTTATTCCTATTAAACTTGTTCAAAAGCATTAAGGCCGGAAAAAATGTATTACCGTTTTTCTGTTTCGGAAAACTCTTAGTCAGCACGTTTGAAACCATAAATAATTTCCAGCCTGAACGACGCACAGCATCTCTTGTTTAACTGAAGAGGTGTGTTGTTTTTAATTAATTCTGGGAATACGCGTAAATTCAGCTGTAAAAGTATTATTTTATCCAGAAGCCGTCTCTTAGTGTTGGTACGTTCCATTGTTTATTTAATTTTAAAATTGGTCAGCATGTAACTTCTAATCCTTTCTCATTTTGAATGTTTGACTTTTACGTCATGCTTTTAAATAATCAACATTTTCCCTAATTACAAACGATGTCTTTGAATGCAAAAACGAGAAACTTATTCACTAAGATCCTAATCCGAAATTCTTTCCTAGATGTAGAATTGTTAGAGAATTCTATCAGTCCTAAGTCTGTAAATATTCCTTACGTTACGTGAATACAGAACAATTTGTGTGAATGTAAACGCGTGTTGTTTCTGTAATTTTTAAAACAATCAGCACACTACGTAACCACAAACTGTCCATGTGAATAACAATGTATTTCTTAAATAGAAGAAACACAGGTCCATAAAAAAGCTAACAGTCGCTCAGGCAGTCAAAATATTCTTTATCTTTTATGGAATCCGAAGGATCATCACCGATCCTGAGCCACAGGAATCCAGTCCACATGTTCCCAAACTATTTCCCTAAGATTAATGAAGTGGCTTATTGCCTTCACGTTTCCGACCAAACGTCTGGGCAATTTCTCACCCCCCCCCCATGCATGTTAATACCCCTTGATTTGATCATCGTAATAACATATGATTAAGAGTGCCAATTATGAAGCTATTAATTCCTTTTAATTCTGCCTCCTGGTCCAAATATTCTTCCGTTAGTCTGTGTTCTCTCATTCATGTGAGAGACTAAATTGCACACCCAGACAAAACATCGGGTAAAATGCCAGTTTTGTATATTTTAAAAGTTACAATTTTAGATACCGGACGGAAAGATTCTGAACTGCATGACATACGAATTTTACCGAATTTGACGCACTCTTTAATTTCTTCGCGAGTGCTCAAGCACCAATACTTGAACTTTGCCACATTTTCGAAGGATTTCACAGTTACCTTTGTATCATGATTTTTGTCCTGTAATCTGGTGAAGAGACAAATTTCCATTTCGTAACACGATGCTTAAAAATGGGGAACTGTTACCCTCCCCCCAGGGCCCAAACTTCCATTCTGGAGGTCCACCCTTTGTCGGCTGTCTGCTACGTTTCGTTCAATGTATTCCAAGCGGCCCTCGAAATGTTTATTTCCCACTTCAAATATGTGTCATATATCACGAATATAATTTGTGTAAATGTAACCCATTTGGGTTCTGTAACTTTGAAAATATTTATTATGATTCATAAGTAAGAAGCATCTGTGTAATTAGAAACACATTTGCCGTTTCCTTAATTTTGAAAATATTCAGTATTCTGCACACAGACTGTCTTTAAGTCAAAGTTGTTTCTTTTCTGAAAGTACTCAGTATGCCAAATAACAAGTTATTTTGTGTGATTTTACGTAAATTAGTTGTTTTTATACATACGGTATTTGTGTCTCTATAGCGCGTGTATTTATTTTGATAATAATCAGCAGGCAGGTGTACTCTACATACAAGGCATGTGCGTGTGTACAAGTACGCTAGCTGTTCCGTAATTTTGATAATTTCCCATAAAAATCTGTGCATGTCAGTTACCTCTTAATTTTCAATTTCAGTCATTGTCTACATACATAAACAATCCATTTGAAGAACATAAGTCACTACATTTTGTGACGATTCTAAAAAATCTTTACTGGGATGGATGTAACAATTCGGCACGACACTCAACAATAATTATTTCTGAGAATACGTGTTTAAGTTAGGAAGGGCTGACATGTTTTTGAACACTGAAAATATCTGTTGTCAGTGTAATCTTATAAAGGCATTCATTTCGAACAATTCGCTACCTAACAATCAAAACCAAGCAATTTTGATCCAGTGAACCAATTCATATGGAGTGAAAGGTTTTAGTTTTTTGCTGTTGGCAAGACAGTCCGCAACCCGAGAGGGAAACTTGCCAAGCTTTTCAAGGGCATGCAGGTGGTACTCACCTCCCGAAGAGGGGATGCCAGAGGTGAGGGTGTGATGTCTTTTCTGTGGGGCTGATGGCATCTGCCTCCTGCTTCAGAAGACGGGGTGTGATGGCAGGGTCCACGAGGTGCTTCTTAACCTTCAGTTTTCCTGTTGCTACAGCTTCCCGGTCACCTGGGCGACGACCCGATAGGTCTATTGGTGTGGGGGGTGACATGCCTTGTGGTATTGGCACTAGTCGCGGCAAGTTGCTGGGAGGATTCCCCAGGGCTGCGAGCAGATGACTGTGCTGGGTCTGTGTTGCGGGAGACACGCATCTCTTAATTGTTACAGACTCTTCCTGTTGTTGTTTCTTCGAGTTTGACAGGAGATTTATAAGGGATTTACAGGTTACTTTAGGTTTTTTGTCAACGTCTGTTGGTGTCTGAGTTTCGCTTTTGGGTAGTTTCGGTAGCCCTGAGTTGTTTCGAGCAGGCTGCTGGTGTTGCTGATGGTGATGACGGGGCCTGTGCTGATTGTACTGCCGGTGGTGATTGTTCGTGTAGCCATTGGCTGCCAGGTACTCGTGAGTGTTATTCGGGACACGCGGCTGAAAGCTCGGAGAAATTGGACTAGTTCGGGCTGAAGACGAGTTGAATTTTTTAGCCACGTGTGGAAACCGTCCGTTGGTAGCGTGCTGGTGATGGTTTTTGTTATAGGTGTTTGTCCCTGAGGCATTCTTTCCAGACAGCAGGTTGTTATTGTTGTTGACTGAGGCTGTTGACACTGCGGCATGCATCATGGCTTCATGCCATGTGGCCAGTGCTTGCTGGAACTCCAGCTGAGTCTTATAGTCTGTAGACGGCAATGTGAAAGGTGCCAGGAATGGATACTGCTGTTGAGCAGCTCCCGCCCGAACCTGAGGGTAGCTGGAGGGAGGAAATACTGCGTTCAGCATCGTTAGGAAATCTTGGTTGTTTCCACAAGCCATTGCCGTTGCTTCCAGCTGGGTCAGGTACGGGAGCCAGAGCATTTGGTTGAGAGCTGCAGCCAGTTCTCCGTTTTGTTGCTGTTGCTTGAATTCCGATATGGCAGCCTCGTGCTGCTGCTGATATATCTGATAGTCGCGGAGGATCATGCACGAAGATGCATCCTCTTCCGTCCAGTTCTGCAGTAGCCTCTGGAGATGGGCAAGTGACACCACAAGCAAGTCAGGGTCTCGTACGAGAGCAGGGTACGCCAGTGCATCTGGTAACCGTAGTTCTGGCCTCGTGGACAACAGACGAGGAATCTCCCTTGCTGGACTGGCCACCAGTCTGCGCAGTCGGTCCCGGGGGACTAACATCGGATCAGGGACGGACAGTTCCGGGTCAGAGAGGACCTTCTTGAGTTGAGTGACGGGATCCAGTTCCTGATCCAGACAGAATGTTTCTGACGTCAGCAGTTCCAGCAATCGAGACTTCTGGGCTTTGGTTGTCTCGACCACGGCTTCTGGTGTTGGGCTTCTTTCAACGACCTTGGCCGACTGTTTGCTGAGGAGGTTTTTCAGGGTGATATCTTCAGCCTTGATACATTCTGATGTGGGTTTAACTTCCGGGTCGGTTGTCGCAGATGACTTCCTCTCCTCGGAACAGCTGACAGTGGGACTGCCTGAGCCGCGAGAAAGAGACACGCCGAGATCCAGAGGTTGAGGCTCGTCATTGGCCAGCTTTGGCGGCGGGTGACACTTCCTGGGAGAAGACAACAGTGACTCCAGGAACATGGACTGGTGTTGAGGTTTTGGCTGATGGGCTGGCGTCGGTGTAGCCTCAACTGGCGTGGGCTGAGCATCTTTTGTGGCCGATAGTGCGGGAGCAGTACTTTTAACGGGAACATCGTCTTTGTCCATGGTGGTTTTTGGGATGCTCAGATCGGTGGGTACCATCTCCTCAACTACAGTCTCAGTAGAGTCCGGCTGTTCGTGTGTGGTATTATCACAAGTTTCTTCACCATTCACTTCGTTTTCCGGGCATTCTTTTACGACTTCATCTTCTTCTTCTTCTTTTTCTTTTTCTCCTTCTTCCATTTCGTTTTCCTCAGCTTCAATTTCGCCCTCAACATCTTCAACCTCTTCCACTGCGTTTTCTTCTTTGGTAATTTGGTCTATGGAGTTTTCATCTTCCGCCACCGGTGCAGGATGATCATTTGAAGAGACTAGCGTTGTGACATAATGGTCGATGCTGTCATCTGTTGGCAAGTTATCGCACTGCCTCTCGTCTAGTGGCGCCTCCACGGAGCAGTTGCTAGTACTACTCGGTGTAGTCTGCGACACAGAAACGAGTCGCTCGGTTCGCGGGATCGCTCGCCAACCATGAGGTGTCTTCGTGAGCCTGATTCGATTCCTCTTGTCGTAGTCCTCGCACAGCACTTCAACAATCCTTGTGTCATCCTGCTTGACCCACACGAAGATCGGGTTGACTCGGGGGGTGGGGAGCGGCGAACCCTCGTCAGCTGTTTTGCTCCGCCGGCGTCGGTGCTTGTGATGTTTATGATGGTGATGGTGGGACCTGGAGGCCGTAGAGCCAGTCGAAGACGTCGTAGAACATGACGTCGACCTCTTCCGTCGCTTTCCCTTCCCCCCGCCGCCGCTCTCGAGCCGTCGCTTGCGGTGCCGTGCGCCTCGCCGAGAGTCACGTGACTCCACGCCGCAATCGATCCGATCCTGCGTGGCCGCCACACACTCGACACTGCTGCACTGCTCGCGGGCCGCCTTTTCGGCACTAATGCGCCCGTCCTCGGTGAGGGACCGAAGCAGGTCCGAGGGTAGCGGGTCTAGCACAACGGAACACCGCGACGCGTCACCCGCACAACATCCCCCCTCACTGCACATGTTCACCACTGCACTTCCACCGAACACAGGACTCTCACTGTTCACCATAAACACCCCACCGTAAGCTCCGGGCTCCTCGCTATCATCACTGGCTTCTGGCTGATCGGTTGACAGGGGGATGAGGGGTGGCGGAGACACGCACTCTGTCTTAAGCACACCATCTTCTTCCTTGTCTTCACCCACAAACGCGATGCCGAAGTCGCGGGCGTGGCGCGCGAGGTCACCCGCTGGGAACCATTGCCGCACCCCGAGGCTCGAACTCATCGTCACTGCGGCGCTATCATCGCACACAAACTGTCACTTGCTTTTTCACCTGCTAACAATATGTCGTGCTGCGGCACGCACTTGAACTGCAGAGCTGCACGGCTTGCGAGCCACTGCTCCAAAATTCTCCCGAACAAACCCGATTTGACGGCTACGAACTTTGCCGAAGTGGGTATGTGACGTCAAAGAAGTCTGAACCTATGAGAAGGGGAAGGACTTTGCCCTGAGTGAAAAGAGGGGAGGGTATAAAGGAAAGAGGGGCGTGGTGTTCCCATCCATAACACTCCCCCTGTCCTTCCCCCCGCTGATAGCTCAGGACACATACATCTCTTCAGTTGTGTACCAAACTTCTGTTGGCCTTGACTTGCACGTAATCCTATTTGCTTCCTTTTTTGTATTCCCTCACAGACACATACTCTCCCCCTCCCCAAAGCGTAAGTAACCAGTGTAGCCAACATATGAACACCAACTGTCATCACAAAGACGTCGGCATTGCAGTCTCCTGTAATGGCGGTCGTTCTCGGACTTGATTTATTTTGCTCCATAATGAAATTGTAAAGCGAGCGTGACCCAGTTTGCCGAATCGATATTTTGAAGTTGCGGGCCTCTGTAGGCCTACTTCATCTCTCTGGACCTAGTTACGATGGCCACTGGATAATTTATGCTATTTCACGTCTCTTTATCAGTTGCGTAGGTTATAAATCGCCTGGTATGTGCACAAGAATTCACGAGAAACTCCGTTGACTTGGGGGGGGAGTGGGGAAAGAACACGAACCGGCTGCCCCGAGATTAGTAGAAGATTAAGTCTTTCAATTTGATACAGCGTCATTAAGTGTCCTTAAAACAAGTGAACCTAATTCATGGAGTTCCCCAGAATTTTCATGCCAGTTTAAAATAAGGTTATTTCAAACCGTGTGAAGTGACGAATGGACGAATGATAACAGTAAATAAATTACGTTATATTGTTCATCGTTCTTACACATTTTTCATATGGGTTATATTGCAGTTAACTTGTTGGCAGAACGTAAAGTGATGTAATCTGAAACTACGTTAAGCGAACTTCACAATTACACATTAATCAGGGATTCATCGAATATTCTCATCAATTGAAATGTTAATCAAGACACTTTTATATTTCTAGTTATTTTCCCCATACTCATGGGAAAAGTCAGTTTATGAAATCATTGTTCTGTGTGCGCGTGCCCTTTCATTTTTCGAACCAGCTACGTGATTTTCCTTCGGTTTAAATCTTGTACAAGCCTGAACCTTATGATACTAAATCCAATCACAGCTTCATACTTTTAACTGCGATCTGTACTAACGTGTAACGTGAGAAATACCAGGACCACTTAATATAGGCGTCTGAAATGATGTGTTGTAATAGAGCTTTAGAAGTATGCAACGTCTCTTTTGTTAATTCTGTTCGTAAAGTTTAAAGGAACAACATATCGGCCGTGGGAAATTCCGTACAATATTTTCTTTGACAGCGATAACTAATGAACCATTGTACACTAAAAAGTGAAATTTTGTGTGAATTATGATAACATTCCTATAAGTTATTTCTGGAAAGTTTTTTTTTTAAGTCAATGACTAGACTACGTACATAGTGACGGTGTAATACTATGTGGTTACATCCGAAAAATTTTATGTACACAAAAATTGTGTTTTTGTAATACGCCAAAGTTCTTATCAGAAATATTTTCTGGTTATGACAAAAATAACATTAATAATAACCTGAAATATATGTGCAATTGAAATTTAAAGCAAAAGTATTCGGTTTTTCGGACTAAGACCTATCTCAGCACGCAGACACATGAAGTAATTTGCATTTTGTCGTGTGATTGTAAATTTATCCACACAAGTCGAGTTTGTTGGACTGGAAATGTATTGGAAAACTACGTTTCATGAACGCTGGTCGGAGGTCCTGCGCCTTGTTTATCTCTCTTTATGTAGGACACGTTATAGGATTTTTGTGAAATTGGTTGTGAACACATGAACTGGATTAAATCTTTTGAGGACAGGTTCTTGTAATGTGGGCGAAGACCTTCGGATTCCAGAACAACATACAACTTTTATACGATTACTAGCTGAGTGCCCGATGTGATACCGCAGAGAAATTCGACAGACACTTACATTTCTTATCAGTCTTTAATGTAGAAAGCTTATCATAGGCCTGAACATTCGACATGTATCGTTGAATACAATAGAAAAAAATTAAGCTACTATTATAATCTCTAGACCCCAACATCTTTAACGAGACTCAACCCCAGGGCATTTTTCGGGTTTGTGATCTTGGTTCCTGGTATCTCTTCGTCAAAACAATTTTGTTCTTTACACCTGTCATCTATCGTGCTTAATTTCCGAGGTACATAAAACATCTATATTGAAACTACAACCCAGGACAGCTTTTTCGAAATCTGATCGTTGAAACAAATAATTTCGGTCTCTATAAGACGTTCCTCCATCGTGCGTAGTTTTTCAATATACAGAAATCATCTTCACCGTGCTTCGAACCCAGTATACTGTGTCAGGGTTTTGAACTTTTTGAAATATCTTTTTCGTGTCGAGGAAAGATCATGCCAAGTTTGGTGCAAAACGGTATATACATTCTCGAGGTATAACCGAACATAATACACAATTTCAATTTCTTATAATATATTACTTGTGCGTGTGTGACTGTGCAGAGGATTGAACGACAGGCGTAATTACAGTGTGGATTGTTACAGGTGCTAATTCCACCCAAAAGGAAAGTTCATTTCTTTTCTTAATCTAACCATGACTATTTGTTATAATACATTATTCGCCAGCAGGTTACCACAGCTGAGTGAGTTGTCGTTCGGCATAATGACAGATTCTTTCAGAAGAAAGTGAGAACAATATAATTATTATTTTTCGTAAATTGGTGTGCCATAAACGACGACTTTGTGTCTGCCTTCTTCAGGATAGAGTTCGCCGCACGTGGGTTTAAAACGCGCTGTAATAATCTCTTCTGATATAGCTGTGGTCCCTTTCTGCTACTGAATTTCAAACGTTTTTACACAATGGATTTTCCCATTTATTTATTGTCTGTGTGTTATCTAAACAGATAACACTGTGACGTATTGTATTTGTCTTTTTATGAGAAAGCTTGACTACGTTGCGTTCACATTCATATATTCGTTCCGCTTCCGGTGTAAACGAGTGGAAAGGTCCCAATGAAGTGATTCTTTAATAATATTTAGACGTGTTCTCTGAAATTGGTTATGTCTTATCGTAATTTTTACGATGTAATATTTAAAACTTTAACAGATGATAAGTTACACATGTAAGTCTGTTTGGTTTACGTAAGCTTCTTAAACTATCGATTGCTATTCATATTAAGCTACGTAGGCTCTAATTTTAGGGAAACAGTGTGTACCTTAAAGGTCCGGAACAAATGTAAGGGTGATTTATGAAGTTCATAACAGTTAACCTTGTATGAACGCGGGTATCATTTTCGAGACACGCGGTTTTATAATGCCTGCATGTTGTAGACCAGTGGTATTCAACCTGGGGTACGCGAAGACATCTTATGGGGTAAGTGAAATTTAAAAAAAAAAAATATATTTTATGATAAACACTGAATAATCAGTAATGTAATTTATTTAATTTATTTTAGATGTAATTATATAATATGTATAACTTGAATTATACACCAACAACTATGGGGGTACAAAGTTGAACAGAAATTATATCTGGGGGTACGCGAAAAAAAAGGTTGAATACCACTGGTGTAGACAATGTCTTTTCCGTTATAAATAGTAGTCATTAACGAGCTATTTGACCGATTATCTAGAAACGACAAGAATTTGATGAATCAACATCTTAGTCTGGTAGTGAAACCAACCGAAAGCAAATTACTCTGCAGTGATTAATACCTTTTTCATTCAATGCATTGCGAATTAGAAATTGAGATGAATGTTTTATATTATTCGGACCAGAAATTACCGCGACAGCGCGATCTTGGTTGTTGATGTGACAAATGAAAGCGAATATCACAGCTGTTCTGCCTCCGGGCCCCCCACCCGGGGAGGTGGCGCCATATGGGGCCTAGGCGTGGGAACAGAATATAAAGTAAGCACAGTTTTTGATCATGTGATTACGTGGTATCAGAAAAAAAAAATAATTGTAACAACTTGTTACGAAGACGACCCAGTTACAGTGGTCGAGCGATCTGAGGGTTGGACCTTGATCACTCGGACCCTGGAATCGTGGGTTCGAATCCACGAATGTTTGTCTTCGTCTTTCTGTGTAGTTCTATCATGTGCGGGTACAGGCCTAGCAAAGGGCTGATCACTTTGCAAGGAGCCCTACCAAATGTCTGAACAGCTTAAGAAACGTCCCTTATGTGAGGCGACCAAGGTCTCTCAAGGACTGTCCAGCCACGGAGTTAATGATATTTTCCTAATCATGAAGGGTTGTCGAAGTAGGAATGATTGTCCCTCTCTCATGACCCTGTTCTGAAACAAAATTACACTGCACAAGGTTTAGCTTAATCCAAAAATTACCTTTATGATAGCGTGGACGTAGTTGTATAGTCTTTACTGTGTAATAATAGCACCTACATTCGTTTTATCTATATTCGTAGTTGACAGTACGAAGTTTTATGTACTTTCTTGTGATTTCCTATAGAACCAACTGTGGGTAGATGTCCTCCAGTCCTTTACATTCTCAGGCTTCGAAATTAAACATGTCCAGGTCAGTTTAGGACGCGTCGTGTTTTTTCTTATGGAACATCAGAGTATCACTTTGCTAGAAGTTTTGAAATGGAAAGAGTAGTTGTCTCTTATGCGACTCATTATAACTCAGGCCGATTGCAGTACCCAAAAAAGGCGATGATATAACGAGAAGAAGTGGTTGAAATTGAATTCAGACTAGTTGTCCAATTGTAGATGATTTTCCGTGTGTAGGCTGCATTAACAGGTCCTCATATTTCACGATTACTTGGCACTGCAGTCACAGAACGTGGTCGAGTAGTTAGAGCACTAACTCCGTATTCGGGAGGCCTCGTATTCAAATCTCGGCCATAAAGTCGGCTGTCGTGCCTGAAAGTACTTGTGGTTTATCTAGCAGCCACTAGAAAAGTTCTGGAATCTTCCCGAAGTATCG